GGGCAAAAGAAACTCCAGCTTATGGTACTGCGATCACAATAAAAATAAATAAATAAATAAGGACATACAGTGCATTACGTCGTAATTGGAAGCAGGATCACATACGATCTAGTAAGATCCACCTTTGAGGACTACAACATATATAAAAGAATGGAGTTGGCACATTGAAGACAGCTTCCACCCAGAGCCACTCTAGTGCTGCTCCTTCAACACGGGCTGAAATCAGTACATGTACTTCACATATTGTTTGTTTTAACTCAGTTTGCTGCATCTCATAAGAATGTCCTGCAAATCGGGGTGGCGCCTGGGGCTCAAAGGAATATGGCGCTGGCCCCATATACCAAAGGTGGTGGGTTCAAACCTGGCCCTAGCCAAAAACTGAAAAAAAAAAGGCCTGCAAATCACGCAGGACTGGAAAAAGGCAAAAGATCACTTTGCTAGAACCACGTTGGCGGGCAGAGCACTCCAGGCTGTGCACAAATTGCTCTGCTGCTCCGACCTTCTCATTCCCTGCGTGTTCCCCTCATTCACAGGGGACGCAACTTTATTTAAAAAATGGAGTTCAAACACATCAAATATTTGTTGAGATCTAAAAATTATGATAGCCAAGATAAGAAGCTAGTACACAAGTTCTTACAATGAATGTTAAATGAAAATAAGTAGAAAGCCTAAGTAAGAAAGAATCCCCTTTTAAAAAAATAATTCATATGAATTCTGGTTTCATGGAGTTGATGCTCAAGGTTAGCTGAGAAAGTCATCGGTTAAGATTACTCTTCAATATACGTTGCACTCACTAACACTAATGCCAGCAGGAATTGATGATAATATTTATCTGTCCCGTTAGCGAGTGTGGAAGAGAGAAAAGATATCAATGATATGCATGGCAATTTAGCTGCTGTTCCGACTGCACTGTTGAAACTGCTCTCATAGTTACTCAAACCAACGTGCACTTGCTGATCTTGTCTCCCTTGACCTTATTTGCTGGTCTCCCTGACACCATCACTCATCTCTTCCTCCTAAAACGCTCAACTACAATATCCTAGTTTGGTTCTATCCACTCTTATTTCCTTCGCTAAAACTTCTTTCTACGCCTAATTTTTATCACCATCCCTGTATTGTAATTGAAAAATTATAACACATACGAACTAGAATTATGCCCACATTCACTGACAGTGTTCTTTGCTGCTATGAAATTTTCTAATTATGAAATTCTTATTAGAAACTAAATTCAGAAGAAATAAAAATCCCTATAATTTGACTAATTTGACTATATTTGCTAAACTTCAATATTCCATGTTCCACTGAAAATATTCCATAGATTAGCTGTGAACTTTGAAGAGCTGTACCTTCAGAGGACTTGGAGTCTACACACTCAGAAAAGAAAAAGAGAATTTTTTCTGACTTGCATTTCTCATGACAATGAGAATCACTTCACACAGCTATTAAGAACAGAGCACAGATATAAACAGCCAATACAGTACGCTTATGGCCTATTTCCAAACCTAAAAATTTCACAGAATTATCCAGAAAATGACAAGTAAATTCACCAGTGGCAACAAGATAAATACTACTCTGTATACAGCAGTGATTACGGAACACCAGATGCCAAAGCAACTTTTGTATCACTAAAGAAGAACTGAATTGTTTTGAATCCTACTCCCAAATACCATACATGGTAATTCTATATAAACCACAGTATTCAATTAACTCATAAAGATCTTTATTCCGACCATTGTGAAACTGCACAAGACCAGAAAAGAAGAAATAAATTCTCAGATTTTGAAAAATTGAAACTAAAAAGATCATGTCAACTTTTGCAGATATACTACGAATGAACGGTCAAGACTTCCATTTTAAACCTTATCTCAAAACTCAGAAAGTACAAAGTAATTCAGTTCCGACTCCTCCGACTGAGGCAAACCCCCATTACGGGAAGTCACCTGAAGCACATAGACAAGGCTCTCTCCTCCTCTCATGGATTTTACGACAGCTGGACATGGAGTCTGGAAGAATACGTTTCCTCACGGGGCAACATTTATGACAAAACTGCTCTTGTCAATGGGTAAGTTAAGTTAGAATTTTAAATGATTGTTAATTTACCTCTTCAAGATGGTGAAGCCTAAATGCTGACATCTTTTCACTGTAAATGAAATATAATCTCTTCTTTGACAACATGGGCCTGCTGCCTCCCATCCCCTTGTTCCTGAGGACAGGGACCTTGCCTTATTTCTGTCTCACACCTGGAGAATAAGCATTCTTTATAGAAACGCCCAATCATCTAAGTATCTGTTTTATAAATATCATCAACCTTTTACGGTTAAAATTGTGCCACATCTAAGAATACCAAGACAAAAAGACACATTCCTCGGGACGATAATATTTGAAGAAAGACCTGAAAAAAAAAAAAGTAAGGCAAGTCAACAAGCAAGGAAAGAATGAATGAGAATGGAATACAGACGAAGGAGGGACCTGGGTGAGCCCAGTGTGGTCAGGAAAAAGCAGGAGGAATGGACAGAAGGGCTGGGAAGTTGTAGGGAATGATATGCTAATTAATCAGCATTGCAGAAGGTGGATTCCACATTGCCAAGGCCAGAGTCAAGAACCCCAGCCAGAGAGACGGTGTGACGTCTTTGAAAGAAGAGTGTATTGACTAACTTAGGCTCTCCCAGTAAGAATGGAAAAAAAAAAAAAATGTCAAGCAGAATGATAAATACTTCAACACATGATTTAATCCTTTAAAAAACTCCTATGTAGGCCTTTTTCATCGTCCTCATTTTATAGATGACGAATGTTAAGAAAATGCCCAAGTTCACACAACGTGGAGCCAGGTCTCAAAGCGAAGTCTGTCTAACACCAACTCTTGTGTAATAAGCACAGAATCAAAACAGTAAAACCTCCGGGTGAGGGAAACTGGCACGCCTTGCTCACCGTGCCATGCGTAATGCCGAGCATTCTGCCTGACTCGATAAATACTGCCTGGATGGTGAATAAATTAATATTATGTATCACCAAAGTCAACAGAAAGGAGGAATAAGGATAGTCATAGTCGTCCAATGCCGAGCGAGCGCGAGTAAGATAAGGACAGAGAACCGCCAAGTGGATCTGTCAGATCGTTGGGGACCTTTGATGGAGCAACTTCAGTGGAGGGGTTGGGGGCAGAACACCAAGATAATGGGGTGAGGAGTGTGGGGCAGGCAAAGAAACAGAAATGTCAGCTTTTGGCTGAATGAACAATGTCATTTGAAGGCTACAATTTCTTATTTTATAAAATTGTTAAAAAATATGATCTCCACATTTGGCAAGGGAAAGGCTGCCTTCATTGAGAACCAACTTAGCAGAGAGAGATATGGCACTGACTAGAATCCTTGATCCTCTGGGAAGTTCTATTTAAAATAAAGGGAAATCGGTGTCTTTCTAGATCCCAAGACCACCCGTATGACCCAGCAAGGGCATCAGCCTCGACTGATGTAGAAAGAAGGAGGTATGTCTTCAAATTGCTTGAACTCCAACCAAACAGCTAGACATCGACCACCTGCTCACTCAGTGGGGAGAGTTAATTTTTTTTTAATTTTATATCTCAGAGATGATAGCACACACATTCAGGTTTTTTAAAATAGGGCTGAGTATCTTTGCACTAACAGAATTTGCTAAGCATAGTAATAAGGAAAATCTTCTAGCGTATTTAAGATTAATTCTTGAATACACAAAGAAATGGGTACTATTAAAAGCATATGTTTCAAGTACAAAATTGTTTGTTATGGTTAAGTTTTACAGTTTTCAAAAATCTGTCAAGATATGCTTTAAAATATACATAGAACATAAATTTTGATAATTAGAAATGCTGCATAATGCAAAAGATGCCAGTTGCTATATGAGTACCCTGGAATAATTTTTTCACCGAGCAACTACATCTAAAAATTAGAATATCATAAAAGTACACTCCACTAACACCAG